ATATAACATAAATTATATATATATATATATATATATATATATATATACACATGTAAATATTTAAAAATATATATACATGTATGTGTGTGTATTTATATATACATAATAAATATACACAGTACACACACATATATTATATAAACAAAAACTTTTATTTTGGATGCGATTAATCGCGATTAATCGTTCGAAAGCACTAATTTGTTTATTTATTTTTTTCCCCTTAAGAAAATCCAAATGATCAGTATCTGCAGATGTCATTCTGAATAATTTTCCTATTCGTATCAGAGGATAATTTTTTTTATCGGTGCATCCATAATATAACAACCCTCTACTTGAGTATTTTTGATATAGTATAATGGCTGTCAATGATTTTCTCCACATCTTTTCCTCTGAGAAACCAATCACTCCAAATGTCAAACGCTTCAGTAATGAAATTGCCCAATTCAATGACACAAGCCCACAAAACTCCCTTCTTTCAGGCTCACGGAGCAAGCTAGATCACGAAACATCTCCTGGAGGCAGAAAACCCCCAGATCTTTAAATATCCTCAGTCATGCGGTTCCCGGCAAGTGACAAACACTGGCAGGCCTGCGTGGATCCAGACAGGAGGGCTGTTTATTCCCATTCATCTCCAAACAAGACACCTCACGCTCCGCGCTGGAGATCTGAGTGTTGGCCGTCCTCTAATGTCATTGGACTCAGGAGGATGAATCCGCTGTAAATGCAAGGCAGGTTTCGCTCCCTCAGGCTGAGCACATGAAATATGGATGGGTTTGGCTCTTGCTCTTTACCTGCCTGATCACTTCATGCTGCGGGCGGAAAGATTAGAGAAGAGGCGGGTTTGTTTCGATGGACAGGTGACAAAGCAAGATTCGCCTACGATACAAAACAAAGCGCTGATTTGTTATTGAAGGCCAGTTCGTCTTCATACTGTCAGCACATTTCCCAATTTAGTTGTCTGTGGAGTTGACGGCCCATGGTGTTTGTGAATGATTCCTGGCGTGGAAGGTGTTTCTGGGAAATAAGCCTTCTTGCAAGGGTTGGGCCTGTTGGTGAGAATACAACATGCTGCTTCCATACTGAGAACAACAAGACATGCCGAATGTGTTTGTGCTGTGGTGAAAACACTTCTTTAGAAGCGTAAACCACACAGTGACACTGTTTCAGCCAGTAATGTTTCTGGATGCTCTGCAGTGAATGGGTGCCGTCAGAATGAGAGTCCAAACAGCTGATAAAAACATCACAATAATCCACAAGTAATCCACAGCACTCCAGTCCATCAGTTAACATCTGGAGAAGACAAACGCTGAAACACATCCAGCATTAAGACGTTTTTAACTAAAATAGGAGTCTATAATCCATAATAACGCTTCCTCCAGTGAAAAAGCACATCTCCTGTTGTCTCTCACATCAGAATCCAGCCACATATTTGTTTAGAGCTGTTTAAACGCTGAGAAGGTGAGTACAAATTTTAAGCAAATTTTAATTTTGGACTGATTCTACCACAAAATAAGCTTTGTACTTCAATGCTGTTTAAAATTTGTGGCCATTTGACACCAAATTTAAACCTTGAAGACTGGAGTAATGATGCTGAAAATTCAGCTTTGCATCAGGAATAAATTACATTTTAAAAAATATCAAAATAGAAAATATTTTAAAATATTTCACAATATTGATGTACTTACATTAAAAATTTAATAAATTAACAGTAAAGGTGTATTGTAATCAACATTACATTTTAATTAAAACCTTTCTGATTATCATCATGATACACAATTTTTACTGTATTTTTGATCAAATAAATGCAGCCTTAGTGAGCGGAAGTGACTAACAATGTTCTAATTTTCAATAAAATATACACACAGCATTTATCTGCCTAATTTGTCCATCAGTTTAAACTGTCTACCATTTCTTATTGATTGTCTTTAACTAATGAGTATAGTTCAGTCTGCTGTGTGAAAGCCTCCCAGTCGATATGTTCTTAAACCATGAATATCTCCACTGAGTTCCTCTTCGGGAACTCGAGCTGCGTCAGAAGACGCTTAGGGAATGCCCTTCAGCGTGACCGGCTCTGAACCTCTCAGGAGATCACTCTGCCAACCCTGCCGGTGTTCCAGGGTGCTGCGGTCTCCCGCGAGCGCCACTCTCAGTCACCGCCCGGCAACGTAGCGGTGCTAAGAGGCTCGCCACCTCCGCGGAGGTCTCTAGAGCAGCCGGTTCGGTTGTCCCCTGCCGGTCCGCCGTTACAGGGCACCGAGCTAGCTGCTCTCATTACACCAGAGATCAGTCTCGAGAGACTGATTCCCTTAGTAGACTATTTGGCAGCGTGGAAACTACTGCCAAACGTGTCTCAGTGGGTCCTGCACACTGTAGTGAGAGGATACAGAATCCAGTTCGGTTCTCCTCCGCCTCAATTCAACGGGGCCTTTCCCAACCTGGTGGGCCCCGAGCAGGCTCTGGTAATGGAACAGAAGTAGACACTCTCTGAGGATGGAGGCCATCGAGGCGGTCCCTCCTTGTGCAGCAGAGTCCGGGTCCTACAGCCGGTACTTCACCGTTCCGAGGAAGGATGAGGGCGTTCCCTAAGCGTCTTCCGACGCAGCGTCTCGTTCCTTCGAGGAACTATGGTTACATACGTAACCTGAGACGTTCCTCTTCAGGAACTCGAGCTGCGTCGGAAGACGCTTAGGGAACGCCCTTCAGCGTGACCGGCTCTGAACCTCGTGTGTAATCAGACCAATAGATGGGCGAGACGTCACGGGCGGTTGCATCAGTCCTCACTCAAGATGTTCAGA